TGAAATATACACACACTTTCTCCCAGGAGATCCATACACCTGATTAATTGGATTTCTTTGCTTAATTGTTTCTCTGCCACCTTGAAAAGGGGAACATCTCTCTCCACTGTGCTGTCTTACGATGGTTCATGGTTTGCTCTGTTTGACTTTTTGCAAGGCTGATATCATTTATCAGCCTTTTGCTGTATTCTCATAGCAACATCTTTTTTGTTGTTGTTGTTGTTTAAAAAAAGCTCTTAGAACATTTGAAGAACATATTGAACAGCAACAAAAAATTGTTTCAAAATTATGAGAGAGTGTCAAGTTGAAAATGAACTTGATAGTGAGGACAGTGTAGCCAAGTTGTTTTTAAGTGTTTCAAGTTAGGTACCTGAGAGAAGCAGGCATAATAAGATTTTGAATTTTCTGTTGTTCATCTCAGGAAAAGCCTTTCTATTAAGAAACTTTAGTTATGTTTAATCCCTACAGTGAATAGGCCACACTCTCTCTCAAAGACAGACTGTGTTTTAATACATTATATTACTATATTTAATACACCTAAGGATCCTCACTTGTGTACATTTAATAATTATGACATATACATTGATTAGTGATTCCTTATTTATTTCCATGCATGGTGCTAGATCAGTTTTTCAAACTTCAGTCATGGCCAGCATTTTTTAAATGAATTGGAGTAAGGTTAAAAAAAAAAGCAGGAAATATCAAATTGCATTTCAGAAAGTTGTATTCCTGAAAAGTGGTTTTTAGTTATAAAGAATATCCTGAATTATGTTGCAAAATATATTTTATTTTTGTGGGTCATGGTAAAAAAAATTCAAATTTCTGTGCTAGCTACTTTAGATCTGTTTTTTTAAAATCTCATCAAATTGCTATAAATAGATCTTATCACCTCAATCTTACATACACAGAATGTAAAACACAGAGAGAATAAATGACCTATCAAATGCTACAGGAGTTATTAAGTGATCAAGTTGGGATTTGAACCCTTGATGACTGGGTACCAAAACCTATATTCTTTGTAGATAAGTTCATTAATATCTTCTTTTTTCTTTTTTTAGATTCCACATACAAGTGATATCATATGGTATTTTTCTTTCTCTTTTTGGCTTACTTCACTTAGAATGATGATCTCCAAGTCCATCCATGTTGCTGCAAATGGCATTATTTTATTCTTTTTTATCTACACAACAGCAACAGACTTGCAGACATAATAAACAAACTTATGGTTACTGGGTGCAAAGGGATAAATTGGAAGTACAAGATGTGCAGATATTAACTACTACTAAAATAGATAAACAACAAGTTTCTTTTGTATGGCCAGGGAACTATATTCAGTTTCTTGTAGTAACCTAAAATGAAAAAGAATATGAAAAGGAATATATATATATATATATGTTTGACTGAAACATTATGCTGTACACCAGAAATTGTACACTGACTATACTTCAATTAAAAAAAAACCCCTATATTCTTTGTTCCATAAAACATTGGAGTAGTTTTCATTGACTGCAGAGATGAGTTTTGTTTGCTCTGACTGATTATCATTGGTTAATTTTCTTTTACTTTCAATTGTTGAAATAACTGCTAATTAGTAAACTGTTAAAGTAGCACTTTAGATTTCCCAGGACCATCTGACTGTAAAAAAAAGAAATTTTAAATATTGGCTCCAAAAATATACCACGTGTAGCTTTCTAGTATCATGTTTTAGTGATTTGTATCTCAAGTGCTGCTTCCTTTCATTGTTAGCTATTTTTTCCTGTAGGTAGATAGCGATGAATTTAATATTTCCTTAATCAAGTCAAATGAAGAAAATAAAACCATAGAAATTAAAGATTTAAGGATATTCACAAGGTATTCTGTGGTGATCACTGCATTCACTGGAAATATCAGCACCGCATATGCAGAAGGAAAGTCCAGTGATGAAGTGGTGGTTACTACTTTAGAATCAGGTAAGGCATATCTTTCGTCATTGCTAAAAACTGATTGAGTTAGGTGTCTTTCTTACAGTTTCTCATACCCTACCCTAAAAAGCGTATGTGTTATGAGAAACTTTTAAAGTACGTAAATATGAAATTCAGTGACTCACGGTGATTGACAAAAGTGAGGCAAAGTGGAATTATGTAGAAGAATCAATACTTGTAAATTCAGAAGTAGTTTATAATAAGGTACCCAATGGTCCTTTTTTGCACTTTTTTAAACACTAGATATTTCAGAAGTTGACTTACCTTGCCTCATAGTTAATGTTTCCAATTCACCAAATATTCCATTTTAATTATTTCTGTCCCATGGTTTAAAGGCACATTAAAGTAATAATACTCTATTATTAAAACTCTAGAATTCAGATGAGATCGGGCACGTTCAGGGTGGTATGGTTAGAACCCAGGCTGTTTACCATATCCGTTTTCTTCACTTAGTTGAGTGACATGTTTTATTATATGATCTTTTTGATAAATGTCACAATCCATACAGATTTCCTCAAGTTCCTATGAGCAGGGTCTGAACGAATAATAAGGTTGTAAGCGATAGGATTTAATGTGGAAAGTCACCTCCTCAGAGCTCGCTTGCCCGGTCCTCCTTCAGATTCCTGATGGTACTTGGCCACCAGGTATATCTTTGGAAAGAGCACATGAAGGGATGTGCTGCTATAGTTTATTTGTTGCTATCTGTTAGGTAAGTATAGGAGGTAAGAATATTTTCTAGCTAGTCTTTTCATTACGCTGTGTACTCAATTGTCTATAAACTTAAGGTTCTCAGTGGAAAGGTACATCTTATCCTCAGCACCCTAAAATTCCATTTGTTTCCATTCTGTGGCCATGTATATTCCAGGCACCTGTTTTTCTATTACACTTTTTGCACCGCTCCTTCGTTCTGTCTGTGAGGAACGATGCTGCTGAATTTATTCACATTCATACCATGAAGTGCTGACTGCAAATCTTAATGTGCTGCCTCTTCCAAGGATATCATAGTTTCAAAATTTTTTACTGAACCTCTAACAGTAGAATATT